CCGCCGCTGAGCGATGCCTGAGAGCGGAGCTCGCTCCTGGCCCGTCCTCGACGAGTGCCTCCAAGCCACCAATAGCAGCTGCCGCCGCCTCTTCCGGAGAAGCGGCTCTTAGGCTCTCTTTCTCTCTTGGCACCCCCAGCACCAGCCTGGCCAGCGGCCGCCTCAGCACCCCATGATGCTTCCTCCTCCTCCTCCTGCTGCCTCGGCTCTGGAGGCTGCCTGGGCTCGCTTGCAGTTTGCTCCTCTGTCGTGGTGGGGGTAGCTGCTGCTGCTGAGTCCGCCTTTTTTGAGGGGGCCCAGAGGAAAGTTGCCAGACCTCTGTGTGTGCATGTGCCCGCACGCTCGTGTGTGTACCTGTGGGGGGCCCACCCCGTTCTGTTTAATTTCATGGGCACCAATGGAGGCTATTTTCCTTTGGCAAGGCGATTCTGTGAGGGTTTTAAAAAAAATTATGTTGTGCCCTCCTCCCCTCCAGGTGGTTGCTGGCATTCCCTCCCTTCTCCGCTTGCTCGTCCTGCTAGTGGTGGTGGTAGTGAAGGAGCAGGAGGGGGTCGTGGCTGGTGAGAGAGCTTGCGTGCCCCTCCTCGGAGCCCCAGCTGGGCTAAGGAAACTCCTGTGCGGCTTCCTCAGGCTCTTGCTCCACTTGGTGGAAAATCTGATGCTGCCCAGCCTCACCCAGACTCTGCCTCCAGTGGCCCCCAAGTAAATTGAGTTTGAGACCCCTGCCCTACAGCATTTTCCCTTTTCATATATGAATAATTTCTAGCACCACCTGCCAGAATCCTATTGGGGATTTACAACAATGTAAGTGTAGCTGCATAAATCATGAGAGCAAACTGCTGCTAATGAGTTGGCAGTTGCATATCTGGTTGCCTGTGTGTGACCAGGAATATGAGCAGCAAGTAAATGGAAATGTTGTTGCTCCAATTTACGCCATTACACTTATGCTGATGTAAATCCCAAGAGGGTCATGGGCCAAGAAATTAAAGAGGTATGTACTCTTCACTGATGTCAGTTACTTTCACAAGGTTTCCTGGGTAATGTTCGAATTTCAAGATGCATTTATAAGATGACTACCATATCTCAAAGCAAGAGACTTAATTCTCAACATCTTGGTTTTCTGCTACAATTTGAAGAATTGATGTGCCTTCCTTATTAAGCTAATATTATTCAATCAGAACCAACACTCTACACTTAATGAACCCGACTAGCAAAATGTACAGTGAAATCAATGTTCTCCCATTAGGAGAATAAGACTTGTTCACATTTCATATGCAACCCACTCCCCGGGAAATTTCTGTGACATTGGCTAAAATCCTATTGTTTAGAACAGTAAGTTGCACTAGAGGTGGCTTGTTCACCTCCTCCATACATTCCATTATTTCAAGTGTATGCAATCCAGTTGAGACTTAATTTAGCACAGTAAGTTGCCACTACAGTAAGCCCACTTGAATACATAGAACATACAAAACAGAGGACCCACCAAATCCCCTCTGATTCACTGGGCCTACCCTGGAGCAACTTACTACGCTAAGCAACAGGATGTCAGCCAATAGATATTAGCCATTATTTATGAAACAATTGTTCTATTGAGGCTAAGGACTGCCCAGTTTGATTAGTGAATACACAATATGCACTGTCTGGCTTCTGTACTTTCAGCAAACTGGCAATAGCTTCCACTCTATTCCACAAATCTAAGGACTAGCAATTGAAACCACACATTAAACTCAAACATGATGGTATGACTACTTCAGTCAATACAGCTCAGTCCTTTGGTCTGAAATACTACATGAAATGCAGCCTTGTACATCACATTTAAATCCGAAAGGAGGCTGAATACAAGGTAAGACTACTTTTTATATTTGGAAACACACATTATCTTATTTGAAAATGTTCTATTAGGGTTATAGTAGAATGCCATAAAACTTTAATATGGGCTATGTTTCTCTTGCATGCATAGCTTCCTGGGGCAATTCCTAATGTGCAGAGCTGAACATACAAAATCCAAGCTCAGACGTTCTGTCAGCAATTTGCGGTGGCATGTTTTCAGCTCTCGGACCAAGTAGAGTCAGTACAGACTCCGCTTCCCTTTGACCATGCCTAAGGGAACTAAAAAGCCTGAGGAATCATGGTGTTCTTTTGTTTGAGCCACACAGGTTTTTTGTTGTTGTGGCACTTGTTGGCAACTGCAGTAACAAGAGCTTACTGCTTTAAAAGACACACACCACTCCAATCACATACAGGAAAAACATCTGTAAATTTATTTATTTAGCTGATATCAGACACTGAGATTGCTCAAATTATCTCCTTACATGGGCTTAGGTGGTGGTCTTGGTGCAGCACCCTGTAAAGACAAGGTGAACAAAAACAAAGTTAGAAAACATTCATCTAGCTTCATCACTTCTATACTACACATTTATTAAACACTATAACCTTAATTTATGTCTCAAAACAGATTCAATACAGAGGAGTTACAGTAAATTAACACTCTGGAGAGCTGGCCTTTCCCTTTTAACATGATGTTGAACTTCTAGGTCAGACACTTAGGAAATTATGGCTTATGCATTATTATAAAGCATTATATCTATGGATGATGCTATATAAACAACAATCCAGCAGTCTCCTGTGTCAAAAAATGAGTGTGACCTCTAACAGGTTCAATGAGACATGAGGTGGATGAACTATTCCAGACCTTCCCCTTCCTTTGCCTTGCTCCTTTTTAAACAACATAACTACAGACAACTGTGCTTAGCATATTCACTTTCGTTATCAGACAACTAACACTATATGGCTATCCTCAATAGTACAAAGAGTCCCGAACGTGGTGATGTTCTACTAGCTACATTACAGAGTTCTGCTGTTAAATGTAAGTGAGTCAATGTATTGACAATGTACTTACAGCTGGCCTGAACCGGGGTGGAGGAGTGCGGTCCTTACGGGCCTCACGGGAGCGATTCCTCACAACCTTGCTGTGGATGGCACAGCTAACGCAATAGTGAAGTTTCACATAGAGCTTGGGCAAGACATATGCTAGAGAAAACAAGAGGCATTAGTGTAAGTATCACCCACATATGCTAGAAAGGCAAAGTTCAGTTGCAGAGCACCCACAACAATGCATCCAAGTCTCCCAGTGGGAGTAAGACTACCTAAACAGGCTCATATAATATGCTCAGAGCTTCCAAAAAAAAAAATCAATAATTTAAACCAGATTTAATAATTTATTAATTAAACAATTTAAACAATATTTAATTAAATAATTTAAACCAGATTTATTCTGGGAAAACAATGCACACTGAATTTCCAGCCCTCTTCCATTAGAGGTCATTCAGTAAAATTTAAAATACTAGCATTTCCTCATAGATTGTTTCTTTTAGTGTCTTTCAGATGTAATGTAGTTTAAGAAACTGGTTTTTAAAAAATCCAAATTGCATTGTTCTTGGCAATCTCTAATAAAATAAATTAGATCTTTAGTTTTTTATTCTGCTGAACTTTATAACAAAATTCCTATATGGTGCTTGTCTTGATATTGCTTCTGTACTGCTTGCCCATGATACTTAAAAAGCAAAGATTACGGCACCCAAAAACTCACACTACAGGAACTGAATGATAATATTTTTGTTCAAAGGCAATTTCTGAGACAACTATAGAACACCAAACACTCTTGAACAGAAGGCTTAGGTACATGGCTTCTGTTCTCAGAAGAAAGCAAGATCAGAAAATGAGCTCAGACTTTCAAAATCAAAGTAATTAGCATTCACTGTAATGTTTTCTCTTAATCCTTTAATTTTCTGCTCCACTACTTACAGTCAAAGACACTTGCTTCAGAGATATCTCGGACTGCAGCTGCCTCTACAATGTTTCGGATCACAAACTTCTTAATAGCCTTGTCCTTGGGGACACAGCGGGCACAGTTAGTGCAGCGAATGGGCTGGACGTGTCCCCGGCCCTTCTTGGCACGACCATTATTCCTTCTCTTCTTTGTCTGTTTAAAAGGGAAATGAGTTATGACAAAATGTCAAGGTACTAGAGGACCAATGCACTTTGTAGCAACAATTGCTTCTGCTTACACAGGCAAAGAAACATTATGGCTCATTAACAACAGAATTGAGTATCTCTATCCATCTGTATTCACAATAGAAATAAAATTAAACCTTCATGACGATTACACCTGATAACCACGAGCTAGGGATAAATAAAATGCATATAACCGCAACCATTGACCCTGTTTGTGAGCGTTGGCCTTCTGTTCATCAGCACATTGTGACTGAAATCATGTTGGCATAAATTTACACCATGCAAGATGGATGTCTTCATCAAATAACTGATTATCTTAAATTAAAAATGTCCTATTCCCCACCCTTCAAGGTTCTGAGGTTATCTATGGATCCATTTTATCCTGGGGAAAACTTTGGGAGCCTCAGAGCCAGGTGTGGGTGAGGAGTCTTCTATATAGGAAAATCACCAGTGTCGAAATTAAGAGGATTTCAGCCTATGCATATGAGTGCCTCCAACTTCACTTCTGGATATCAGTTGCTGAACAAAAGCAAGCCAGTCCACTCACAAGCATTTACTTAATCACTACTATAGAGAGATTATTTGGCTACACAGACCATGGTTTGATACAGTAGAGCCATGTCTGAATTAACTGGTCAGCCAGGATGCACAAGCTGTACTTGTGCCATCCTGAATTAAGTTTCAGCAGTAGCACCACTATTTTCCCTCTTTAATGGGGTTTGTCATAAGGAAAAACAAAAGCTGGACTAGAAGAAACGTAAATACAGAGACAAATATATGTAGACAGAAGAGGTTCCCATGTTTGAAGATGACAAAACAGCATCCCAAGACATCTGGCTTGCCAGTGCTTAAGCAAGTATGCAAGATGAGATGGACCACTAGCACAGCCCAAGCCTGGTGTCCTAAGAACAAATAATCCCTACTGTCTATTTCTGAGCATTTAATACCAATAAAATAATGTCCTGGCTTTTGCACTACAAGATGGTGGTGGCAATCCATTTCAAGATACACCTTTACCTCTATTTGTGACAGTTACATCTACTTTGGTCTGTGAAATTTACAAAGCTATGGAACATGCCCACATTCACCAGCTGTTGAATTCTTTAAAATATGTGAGTTCAACTCATTTTATTTATTTTGTACTTTTTTACCATTTGTTTCATTAACGGGATACAAAGCTGTGGAGGTGAGATTCTCCAAAGCCTTCCACCCAGATCCCTTAAGCTTTCAAGCCCTGTCCTTGTCATCCATCCACCACCACCCCCAGGCCTTTTGGTTTGCCAAGCATCTCCAACAATTGCCCCGACCCATCCCCGATATTAATTTCTCCGTCCTCCTGAGATCCTTTACCTCCTTATCCCTCACATACACCGCCTCAGAAAGGACAAAGCAAAAACAAAAACCCACGATACTACTGTGAACATGGTAAGACTGCACTGTTACGAGTTCTCATCGGAGGCGTTTTATTTTCACAAAGACAGGGCGGGTCGGGTTCTGTGTGTGTCGGCGCTCAGGCGCCATCCCAGGCCCGAAGAGGCTCCTAAGAAAAGAGCGGGGCCCGGAAAGGCCTCCCCGCCGGGCTTCGCGCAAGGACCGCGCGGGACCGCAAGCGACCGCTCCCCTCACGACCGAGACGGCCAGCGAGAGGTGGCTTCACCCGTTGGAAGGCCGAGGGGCGGGGGGAGAGAGATCTCCTGTATGCGGGCCAGCACACTTGAGATAGAAAGGGAGACGGGGAACCAGGGTTATTCCCACAAACAGAGAGAGAGAGATCTCCTGCATGCGGGCCAGCACACTTGAGATGGAAAGGGAGACGGGGAACCAGGGCTATTCCCACAAACAACCGGCCGC